TCAAGAAGAAGAAGAAGAAGATCAATTGTTTATAGTCACTTCTTCCTCAGGCAAAGAATCAAGCGAGAGCTGGTTGATTGACAGTGGGTGCACAAATCACATGACATATGACAATGAGTCTTTTGAGGAATTAAGAGACACCGAAGATAAGAGAGTGAGGATTGGCAATGGTGAACACTTGGAAGTCAAGGGAAAAGGCATAGTAGCTATAACAAGTTATGAAGGCTATAAAGTGTTGTTTGAGAATAAACAGTGCTTGATCAAAGATGCTAGTGGCGAAGACTTGTTCAATGTCAAAATGGAAGGAAAAAGCTTTGCTCTAAATCCGATGGCCTTTATATCCAAAGTTAGTGCCACTGAGATTTGACACAAAAGACTTAGACACTTTCATCATCGAGGTTTGCTTCAGATCCAATCAAAGAAGCTGGTAGAAGAACTCACTGACATTGACGAGGACATGCCTCCTTGCCGTACTTGTAATTTTGGGAAGCAACATAGGCAACCCTTTCCTAAACAGGCATGGAGAGGCTCGAAAAAGCTGCAACTGATTCATATTAATCTTTGTGATCCTCAGCAAACACCATCATTAAATGGTAATCTTTATTACACTGTTTTTATTAATGATCTAAAAAGAATGTGTTGGATCTTCTTGCTGAAGCAAAAGTCAGAAGTTACGGGTGTATTTTGGGAATTCAAAGCCAAAGTTGAGAATGAAAGTGCATGCTTAATTCAGACTATAAGATCAGATATTAGCAAGGAGTACACTTTAGAAACTTTTAACAGGTTTTGTGAAGAGGCTGGAATTGAACATCAATTGACAGCACCATACACTCCTCAACAGAATGACGTCAGTGAAAGGAGGAATAGATTCATAATGGAGATGACGAGATGCATGCTTCATGAGAAGGATTTTCCAAAACGTTTTTAGGGAAAAGTAGCAAACACTGTTGTGTGCTTGCAAAATCGAATTTCAACAAAAGATGTGAAGGACTTGACACCATTTGAAGTTTGGTATGGGTACAAACCTTTTTTAAAGTTTTTTAAAGTATTTGGGTCTCTTTGCTTCACTTACATTCCATAGGTCAAGTGTGATAAGCTTGACAAAAAGGTAGAAGCTGGCATATTTGTTGGGTATAGTACTATATCCAAAGCTTACAGAATTTTTCAACCACACACTAGTCGTGTTATTGTGAGCCAAGATTTTCATTTTACTGGAAATGAGCAATAGAATTGGGAAGAATTAAAGAAGGTGAATCAAATTTCTAATGCACCAAACAATTTAATCTTTGGTAGCATGTTAGAAGAGTCTGAAGATGAACGACTAAATGGTAGGATGTAGATGGAACTATGATCTAAAATTTTTGTGAAGAGAACGATTTGAATAGGGTAAAAAATCTAAAGATTTGAAAAAGTGAAAACAAAAAGAAATCTAATCGAAAATGGTTGTTAATTTATAGGAGGAGGGAGAAACAGCTCCAGCCACGGGTCAACTGGCTAGTAGAACCGCGCGTAACACCAAGTGGAGGACACGCGTGCATTAGGTGGAGCCACACATCGAACGCCGCATGGAGCATCGTGGCTCCACTCGATTTGCAACACTTGGCCTCTACACTCGATGTGACCCGCAAACCCGCATGCCAAACCAATTTCAACCCACAACCCATCGGCTGAACCAACCCACAGTCCAACTCGAGTGAACCTAACCAATAAACTCGAGAATCGAACCGACTCAAATCAGAGCACCTAACCCACGACTACAGATAAACGACTAGCGCATGGTACACGGAATTCTCAATTTTTTTCGACGATTGTGCATAAAATAATTTTTAAAATTTTTATACCTAGGGTTACAAACAAATTATTCTATTTTAATTCAAACCTTTTTAAAGCATGAATTAAGTATCTTTTTTAGAATTTTACAAATTATTTCAAATTATATATTCAATTTATTTAAATAGATGAGTGTCCATAAATAAAATTTTGCCACGATCGAAAAATAAATAAACAGAAGTTAAAGAATTTTTCCATGGAAGATAACATATATTTTGTTAATGCTAGAAATTTTTTTGCATAGCATGTGACAAGTTTCCTTTTAAACCTATTTTTGAAATTTAGATCAATTAAAAAACATATATAATTTGATATGATTAATTTTAATTCTAGAACATAACATTATTTTAATTATAATAAAAAAAACAATGAAATAAATATTGAAGTATCATTGCCATTTATAGGATATAAGTATTTGAAAATGCCTTTTTTTAAGTTAAAAAAATGTGTAGGTGAAAAATTGAACTCATCTCAATAGAAGAAGATACTCAACCATTCCCTTTTAATAACAATAATAATAAACATTTATAAGCACTTCAGTAAATTATGAGCGTTACAAAATTTAATTGTCCGACATGATGTCTCCACACTCTCAACATCCTTCCGACTCAACATGTTCCAATGCTCTATTATACATTTATACTTCTAACAAGAGTAGTTGAATTTAATATCAAAGTTGGACTAAATTTAAAGTTATATGTTCCAAATTCAAAATTCTATTCTATGTTCATTTTTATATTTTATACTTGATTTTTTGTGAAATGTCAATATTATCCTTTATATGTTTTAAGTGAAAAATGTTCTAGATGCAAGCCAACTTAATGATGTGAATTTTGCACTCTTTTCTTTTTTTAGATTAAATCTTACTCAACCTTCTTAAACTTTTGGTAGGGTTCGATCTCGTTTTTATTTCTCCGAAAAATTCATTTTTTATCTTTGGATTTTGAACTTCGGAACAATGAGTTTTGATGGATTTTTTTTTTTGTTAAAATCAAATGATTTTTTATACGATAACTAAGGTAGTCATCGTATAAAAGTTGAAAATCATACGTGACATCATTTATGTAAATTGACATGATAGTTCAAAGATAAAAAAATAAAATAAAATAAAATAAAAAAAACTTTTCAAAGTCGATAATAAAGTAAAAACTTTTTTTTATTAATTGTATTTTTTAAAATTGATAGGACCCCTAACGTTTAAGAAAGGGAAGAAGAGGAAGAAGAGAGAGAAGACGGAGGCTACCGGAATAAGTTAATTATGAAAGTCATTTTGCAAGGCTCCACAAAAAAAGTATATAACTTAACTGAGAAAGATCGAGCATCAGATTGTTCAATTTTTGCCAAAAATCTAGCAATAACATGAGATTAGTCCATGATCTCGAGTTTCGATTTCCTTTTCCATGACCCAAGAGTCTTGGTTGCTATTTAGGGTCTCATATTCGAATATGATGTTTTATAAGAGGAATCACAAGTTTAGCGTTGAAACATGTCAAATATTTGCACTTTTTCAAGGATAGGACCCCTAACGTTTAAGAAAGGGAAGAAGAGGAAGAAGAGAGAGAAGACGGAGGCTACCGGAATAAGTTAATTATGAAAGTCATTTTGCAAGGCTCCACAAAAAAAGTATATAACTTAACTGAGAAAGATCGAGCATCAGATCGTTCAATTTTTGCCAAAAATCTAGCAATAACATGAGATTAGTCCATGATCTCGAGTCTCGATTTCCTTTTCCATGACCCAAGAGTCTTGGTTGCTATTTAGGGTCTCATATTCGAATATGATGTTTTATAAGAGGAATCACAAGTTTAGCGTTGAAACATGTCAAATATTTGCACTTTTTCAAGGATAGGACCCCTAACGTTTAAGAAAGGGAAGAAGAGGAAGAAGAGAGAGAAGACGGAGGCTACCGGAATAAGTTAATTATGAAAGTCATTTTGCAAGGCTCCACAAAAAAAGTATATAACTTAACTGAGAAAGATCGAGCATCAGATTGTTCAATTTTTGCCAAAAATCTAGCAATAACATGAGATTAGTCCATGATCTCGAGTTTCGATTTCCTTTTCCATGACCCAAGAGTCTTGGTTGCTATTTAGGGTCTCATATTCGAATATGATGTTTTATAAGAGGAATCACAAGTTTAGCGTTGAAACATGTCAAATATTTGCACTTTTTCAAGGATAGGACCCCTAACGTTTAAGAAAGGGAAGAAGAGGAAGAAGAGAGAGAAGACGGAGGCTACCGGAATAAGTTAATTATGAAAGTCATTTTGCAAGGCTCCACAAAAAAAGTATATAACTTAACTGAGAAAGATCGAGCATCAGATCGTTCAATTTTTGCCAAAAATCTAGCAATAACATGAGATTAGTCCATGATCTCGAGTCTCGATTTCCTTTTCCATGACCCAAGAGTCTTGGTTGCTATTTAGGGTCTCATATTCGAATATGATGTTTTAGAAGAGGAATCACAAGTTTAGCGTTGAAACATGTCAAATATTTGCACTTTTTCAAGGATTTCTTCTCAATAAGAAGACTTGCTTTTCCGAAAGTTTGGTGGCGATTATTAGGGTTTGTGTGAGACTAAAAATTATATTTAAATTATTTTTAAATTATATTTAAATTAATTTTAAATTATATTAAAATTGATTTTAATTTTAGATTGGGGACATTCTTAGACCAAATAACATAGTGCTCTTTTATTAATTATATATAACTTTTACAAGAAGATAGAAACCACAACTCAAGTAAAGTAGTTGAACAAAAAATATCTAGAAAAATGTCAACAAAAAAATTCTAAGAGTCCCGGAGAATAGGACTCCTAAAGACTATAACTTTATTTGAAACAAAAGTTGACTAAATCATAACTCCTTACATTTCTTCCTTTAAACTTATTCTAGTATATCACATCCATCAAATTCTTTAAGCAATTTCTGAAATGCTTCCAACTTAAGAGGGTTTGTCAACAAATCAGCAAATTGATCTTGAATACCACAGAACACTAAGTTGACAATGTCTTCTTTTGTAAGATCTCTAACAAAATGAAATCTCACGCTTACGTGTTTAGAACGACCATATAGAATTGGGTTTTTTGACAGCTTCATAGTTGAAACATTATCACACATAAGTTTGGTTTCTTCTGTATGTAAAGAATCGATCTCCTTAGTATTTTTCTTATTAAACCGCTTGACATGCACATGCAGCAGCAACAAATTCTGCCTCTATGGTTGTTAAAGTGACTATAGGCTGCTTTCTAGATGACCAAGCCATTGCTCCTTCACTCATCATAAACACATAGCCTGTAGTACTTTTGCGGTCTTGTATGTCGCTGGCATAGTCACTATCAGTAAAACCGATCCGATCACTCACTCCTCCCCTTTTGTAGAATACATCATAGTTAATTGTACCTTTCAAGTACCTTAAAGCTCTTTTTGCTACTGCAAAATGTTGTTGCATTGGAAAAGCCATAAAATGACTTATTAGACTAACAACTAACATAAGATCAAGACAAGTGGCAATGAGATACATCTAGCTTCCTACTATCTGCTTGAAAAAAGTTGTATCTATTTTAATGTCATTTTTATCTTTACCAATTTTTTGTCCTGGAACAATGGGATTACAGACAAAGTTATAATTTTCTATCTCAAATTGATTCAAAACCTCAGTTGTATACTTTCTTTGACATATAAAAATGTCATCTGATCGTTGTGTTACTTCAACCCTAGAAAGAACCTCATCTATCCTAGATCAGTCATATAAAACTTCTTTTTCATAGAACATTTAAATTCTCCCAGTAATGTTTCATCATTGCTAGTAAACAAAAGTTCATATCTCATTGCTAGTAAACAAAAGTTCATCAACATATATGCTTACTATCAAAATGTTACCTTTCTTCCTTTTAACAAAGAGATTATTCTCACTAGAATTGATTTCAAAACTTTCTTTCATGAAGTAGGATTCAATTCGGCTAAACCATGCTCTAGGTGCCTATTTTAACCCGTAGAGTGCTTTGTTGAGCTTATACACCATAGTTCACTCCCCCTTTTTTCATAGCCTCTTGGTTGTGTTGTAAATTGTCATAAGGTCCTATTCTTTAGGACTGATTAGTCCTATTCCCTGCGATAAGTTTTCTAATTAGTCCTATTCTCTGGGATAAGTTTTGTTAGAGACACTCATAAAGGAAGAGACAATACTCAGAAAAATAAGCAAAAACCAACTACTATTCTCTTCTTCAACTTGCTGTACACATATGTAGACAGAAGAAAAAAAACTAAAGACAGAAGAAAAAAATCTGCTAATAACCTACACAACAACTGTTAATAACCTACACTAACTTCCCTTGCTATTAGCCACAAATACTAAAATACAAGATTAAATAAACTAACAAATCATCCCCTTAATCTTGTATTTTGATCTTCACATTCTCATATTCTTCAAACCAATTCTTTCAGTAAACGTCTTAACCATATTCCTTGACAAGCAGCTGACGTCACCACAATATACTCCGCTTCACAGGATGAAAGCTGCCGCCATTATCGCCGCTTTCCTTCTTCTCTGTCTTCGTTTCAATGGGCAACTGCTTTTCATCGACAGTTTTAATTACCTGTTCTACTTGTCTGGCCAATGGCTTTTCCTCAACAGGTTTAATTACCTGTTCTACTAGTCCGACTAACTGCTGTTCCACGATAGGTTTAGTTCCCTGTGCTACTTCAATTGCATTACCGGAAACAATGGCCTCCTTCTCCTTCTCCTCCTCTGCTTTCGTTTCTCCGGCGACCTGTTTTTCAATAGCATTATCATTGTTTCCGTCCTCCTTCTCCTTCTTCTTGCCGTCACAGGTGACCTCCTTCTCTTTTATCTCCTCTGCTTTCGCTACCTCCATTGCCACATTCTGGACCTCCGCCACAACGCCATCTCTCTTCTCCTCGGATTCAAACTTCACAACGCCAACGATTTTCTCTCCATCGCTCTTCTTCTCTTCTCGCTTCTCTGTTTTTTCTCCGATTCAATCTTCACAGAGCCATCGATTTTCTCCTCATCGATCATCTTCTCTGTTTTTTTCACAGACGCAGCTTTCACATCTCCACGTCCTTTTATCTCTACAAGTGATCCATCTCCGAACTTCACCGTGCCGGTCACTGACTCGTTCAATTTCGAGAACCAACTTCGACAACCAGTCATATGATTGCTGGCTCCCGTATCTAGGAACCAAGTGTTGCTTTTCTTCTCAATTTCTTCCGGGACAACCTTCTCTTCATAAAGAGCCATCTCCGTCAATTCTGGTGAACCGAGAGTTCGGACTTCACAAACTTGTGCTGTAAGTAAGGCTGGCTCATCCTCGTCACTTTGCGTCTCAGCCAAGTGCGCCTGATCCTCCCATTTCTTTGATCTACAGTCAGATGCATAATGGCCAATCTTTTGACAACTATAACACTTCACCTTCCGACATTCTGAGGCATAGTGGCCTAGGCCTTGACAATTGTAGCATCTTACCTTTCTCTTGTCAGCCTTCTTCTCTTAATGAAACGAGTCGTTTCCACGTCCATGACCACTACCTCTCCAGCGACCACTGCGACCTCGCCCTCGGCTATGGCCTCCATTGTCGCTACGTTTTTTCTCTTTCCATTCTCCTTGAGTCAATAAGACATGCTCAGCATTCTCTTTGTTGCCACCGATTTGTTCCTCGTATGCTTTAAGACGGCCGATAACTTCCTCCATGGTCACCACCTTTAAATCGGCAAATTGCACTATTGCCGATGCGATATGAAGAAACTTAGGAGGTACTGAGCGGAGAAATTTTTTCACCAAGTATGCCTCTTCAAACTTGTCTCCAAAAGTACGTATTTTATTAACAACTTCTGTCAACCTTGCTGCATAATCATCAATAGTCTCGGACTCCTTCATATTCATAATTTCAAACTCAATCTTCAGAGTTTGGATCTTTGCCTCCTTTACACGTTCAGCACTAACATGAATAGTTTTTAACGTCTACCATACCATGCTTCTTTCGCTGTCTCTTTCTCTGCTAACAAAAACAACATCTCCTCAGGGATTGCTTGATAGATAGCTGCTAAGGCCATTTGATCCTTCCTTTCATCAAGACTATCCAGAGACCCAGAGACTCAGTTGATTTGATTGCGTCCCACACCCCTTGAGCACGCAAATAGACCTTCATCTTCATAGCCCAGGCTGAGTAGTTGGTTCTCGATAACGTCGGGTATTGGAGTGATACCAGACCTTCTTTTGTTGCAGACTTCGACGACATGATCTTTGGCATGTAACTTGGCTCTGATACCCATTGTTAGAGACACTCATACAAGAAAGAGAATATACTCAGAAAAATAAGCAAAAACCAACTACTATTCTCTTCTTCAACTTGCTGTACACATACGTAGACAGAAGAAAAAAAACTAAAGACAGAAGAAAAAAACTGCTAATAACCTACACAACAACTGTTAATAACCTACACGAACTTCCCTTGCTATTAGCCACAAATACTAAAATACAAGATTAAATAAACTAACAAGTTTCGCTGATATTTTTAGGTTCAACAAAAGGCTATATAATGTCATTCTTTCGGCTGTTGAAAACATCAAGTTTTGTATGTCACATTGTATTTCTTGAGTGACACATTGGTGTTATGAGTACATTTGTTCCGCTTTCGGCACACAATAAGTGGTATCAGAGTCTTATTGTGGTATTTAGGATATTGTGAAAGTTTTGGCCTCATCGACCACTAGACGTGCTCACAATCGTGCTTATTCTCTTGAAAATCAATTTTCAAGAATTGTGTTTTTAGTTACATCCAAATTAATTATTGCAAATGGCAGAATCATCACGGCGTGGATCGAGATTGTGGAGTTCCAATCTCGAAGTAGAGAAATTTGATGGAACCAATAATTTTGGTGTTTGGCGAGGCGAAGTTCGCGATTTGCTGGTCGTGCAAGACCTCGATGTTTCTCTCCAAGAGGAGATACCTGAAGACACGATAGAAGCAGAATGTACGAAATTAAATCGGCAAGCCTGTAGAATTATTCGATCCTATCTTGGCAAGGATCAAAAATATCCATTTATGAAGGTTACCATGGCGAAAGAATTATGGGACAAGCTTGAGGCGAAATATATGAATAAGAGTGTGGAAAATGAACTTTATTTGAAGAAAAACCTCTTCCGTTTTGACTACAAGGAAGGTATCTCAATGGCTGAGCATTTAGATGATTTTAACAAAATCATCACTGATTTGCTCAATCTTGATGTTAAATTTGATGACGAGGACAAGACGTTGTTGTTATTAAATTCTTCGCCGGAATCCTACGAGTTTTTAGTAACGACCCTACTACATGGAATCACTAATATTGATTTTGAAGATGTTTCAAATGCCTTAATAAATAATGAGATGCGAAAGAAGGAAAAGGAGACATATCAAGGCTCTAGCTCAAATGTTCTCACTGCTCATGGAAGGACTTATACTTGGAAAAGGAAGAATGTGGAGAGTCCTGATTAAAGTCGAGAGGTAGATCTGATAATTGGAGAAAAATTGATAAAAATGAGTGTGCATATTGTCGACAGAAAGGCCATTGGAAGAAAGATTGTCCGATCTTAAAAAAGAAGGGGTCGAAGTCCAATGTGGTTAGAGATGACAACACTGATACAGATGATGCCTTGACAATCTCCCTATCAGTCAGCCAAAGCAGTGAATGGATTCTTGATTCTAGGTGCTCCTATCATATGTGTCCCAACAAAGAGATGTTTTTGAACTTCAAAAAGTTCAATGGTGGAGTTGTCTATATGGGCAATGATAGTACTTGCAAGATGATGGGAATCAGCTCAATACAAATCAAGATGTTTGATGGAGTTATACGAAAACTCAATGATGTGAGGTATGTCCCTGACTTGAAGAAAATTTTGATTTCCCTTGGCATTTTGGAGTGGTTATCGCATTATTTTGGAAGGAGGAAATTTGAAAGTAGCTCGTGAAGCTTTGGTAGCAATTAAAGGAACTAGAAGAAGTAGCATATACTACCTCAACGGAACCACAATAATTGGGCATGTTGCTGTGGCAAGTTCGAAAGAACAAGACATATCGAAATTATGACACATGCGACTCGAGCATGCTGGTGAGAAGGCGCTTCAGACATTGGTGAACCAAGGAGTCCTTAAGGGTGCCACAACTGGTAAAATTGATTTCTGTGAACATTGTATATTTGGTAAACAAAAAAACTGTGAAGTTTGGTACAGCTATACACCAAACAAAGAACATTTTGGATTATGTTCACACTGTGTATGGGGTCTCACGAAGAATGTCTCATTGGGAGGAAAGAGGTGGTTTGTCACCTTTATTGATACTACTCGAGAAGAGTTTGGATGTATCCTATGAGGCACAAAAACGAGGTTCTCCAAATCTTCCTAGAGTGGAAGAAAATGGTAGAGAATCAGACGGACAGGAAAATCAAAAAGCTGAGATCAGACAACGGGAGAGTAGATCCATTCCTTAAAGTATGCCAAGATGAAGGGATCGTTCGACACTTCACTATTCCTGGTAAGCCACAACAAAATGGAGTTGCTGAAAGAATGAACCAGACATTAATAGAGAAGGTTCGATGCATATTGTCTCAAGCAGGATTGAGGAAGGCATTTTGGGCTGAGGCTCTCTGTTATGCAGTTCACTTGGTGAATCGTTTACCTGTTTCTGGAAATGGTGGGAGAACTCCGCTTGAGGTATGGTCAGGTACTCCTGTTAGTGATTATGATAAAATTGCATGTGTTTGGGTGTCCTGCTTATTATCATGTGGCAGACTCAAAGCTGGATCCTAGAGTAAAAAAAAGGCAAGTTTATGGGCTTTAGCAAATGTGTGAAGGGCTATAGGTTATGGTGTCCAGAAATAAGTAAGATTGTTAATAGTCGAGATGTGACATTCGATGAGTTTGGAATGTTTTTGCAGAAAATTGAAAATAATGACGAGGCATTGAAGCAGGTGAAGAAGGTGGTGCTCTCTCTTGATATGGTTGCTCTTACTGAAGAACCTATTGATCAGGTAGATAATAACTCTGATATCTTAAAATAGGAGGAGAAAAGCCTTGAGGAGCAAAGCCTTGTACATGAAAGAGTGGAGGAACCTGAGTCTATCGCCAAGAATAGACCACGAAGGGTAATTCGAAAACCTGCAAGGTTTGATAATACGATAGCATATGCTTTCTCCTTGATTGATGGAGTTCCTAACAGTTACAAAAATGCTATTCAGAGCCCGGATAGCTTAAACTGGCAAGAGACTGTGAATCAGGAGATAACATCATTGGAGATAAATCAAACTTGGGATTTGGTACAAGTTCCAAAAGGTAAGAAGGAAATTAGTTGTAAATGGGTTTTTGCAAAAAAAGAAGATTCTTTTAGTATACGTTATAAGGCTCAACTTGTGGCTAAAGACTATGCACAAAAAGAAGGTATTGATTACAATGAAATTTTCTCACCTACGATAAAACATTTTTCCATTCGAATTTTGTAGACTTTGGTTGCTCAATTTAATCTTGAGCTTGTACAACTCGATGTAAAAACTGCTTTTTTGCATGGAAATTTGGAAGAAGAAATATATATAGTGCAACCGGTTGGTTTTCGAGTAGTTAGATAGCAACATTTAGTATGCAGACTGAAGAAATCTTTGTATGGGCTGAAGTAATCTCCTCGTCAATGGTATAAAAGGTTTGATCATTTCATGGTAGAGCATATGTATACTCATAGTCAATTTGATCATTGTGTGTATTATCGTGTCTCGATGATGGATCGTTTATCTATTTGCTCTTATATGTTGATGATATGTTAATTGCTTCAAAGAGATAGGTGGAGATTGATAAGCTCAAAGATTAGCTTTCTAAAACATTTGAAAT